TTCAGAGAGTATAAGCAACAGGTATCAAGTCTACCAGATGAAGTATAAAAGCAGGTGTTACAAAACTTTCTGGGGCTTCTTAAAAGAAAGACTAATTTTTAAGAAATCGCTCATATCACTAATCCTCATATCCTCATGCGACAGTCTGATCTGTGTCACAAAGTTCGCCATGCTCACCAGCCTACGAGTCTGGCTAATATCCAAAGCTGTAAGAATGGTTCCCTTCCCAATGAGAGGAGTGATCTTATGATAGATCGAAGTGATGATATGACATGCTTGTTTTGCTGAGTTAAATGGTCTATATATGATCCCCTGTACATATAATAAAAGCACAATTTCATGAGCTATGGCACATTTTGCAGAGCCCCTTGGGAGATCTGCAGACCTCACCGGACAAAGGGTGACAGGTCTGCACACTAGCTGACATTTCGCAAATATTGTGTATTTTTTGGGTTAATGTTTAATATAAAGTTTTGTTTTGTAATCCCACTTGGATCAGACCCTCGAGACCAGAAGCTGGTACCAAAGTACAAACTGATAAGAATATTTTCGACTCATTGCTCAAACTTTAAGTGTCCTGCTTCAGAGAACACAAACGCTTGTTGCAAAGCGAGACTCTGCTCTCCAGGTTTCTGGTCTTGCCTAAGAGCTGCTGTGACCCACAGAGCAGAAATAACCTCTGAGTCCTGAAACAGGAATTTGGCACTGCTGGGAGATTTCTCCAGAGAGATTCGATGACGCCCATCAGGACATGTTTGCTGCTCACAGGACATAATTAGTAGACATAATTTACAAAGATTACAGACAGCGAATGCTATTCAGCCAACATAGCTGCCATATTATTGGAGAGTGTTTCCGAGCGTTTCTGTAGATCGTTTTTGTAAAGCAAAGAGAGCCGTCTATAACTCACACCCCTGGATTGCATGTTGGACACCCAGGTAAATAGCAGGTGTCAGATTAGGAAGCATGTGTTACCTAGCAGTGGTTTGCGTAAACATGCAGCGGGTGGCTGGATTGAGTTCCTCCTCTGTTGACTAATATATGTTGGAAACAGGCCTGCATCGCTTCATAGTGAGACATATGGCTGGTCAGTGTGACAAAGTGGTCTGTGGAGTATTCTCGAATGTATTTCAGCGGTGCTCAGTTACTGTTTGTTTACGTCTGTCCAACAGCCAGAAACATGTGAATTTATGCAAATATGTTTCTACACTTTAAGTTTCCATAGACTAAAACAGAAAGCAGGTCTTCACGTTGTATATATCTTGTCCTTCCGGGGTTGATGTTGATCGTTACAGAGCAAAAACTTCCAATATCGATACATCAGTCCATATTTTATGCAAAATATAGACATTGATAAAGGAAAAGGAAAATGTTCTCAGTTCCTGCATCTTCAAAAAAAATCATGGTCTACATGGTCTGTGCTCAAGAGTGAGGCTGGTGTAGGTGCATCATTAGCTACCATGCACAGAAGTCTGCAGAAGAAAAAAAAGGCTACTGTTATATCCCTAAAACAGAGCCATTCATGAAACAGAGACAATATCAGACAACAGCATCTTACTTGGACGAGGACCTGAGATGGTTTGAACAAGTGTAGAGGAGGGATAGTGGATGTGGTGGACAAAGGATGCTGAACACGGAGCTGCCAGGAAGGAGGAAAAAAGCAAGACTGCAAAAGAAGATTCATGGATGTAGTGAGAAGGACATGCAGAGGGTTGGATGTGACAGAGGAGGATGCTAAGTATAGGGTGAGATGGAGGCAGATGATCTGCTGTGGAGAACCCTAGGGGGAGCAGCTGAAAAAGAAGTTGCACGACGATAGAGGAGCTTTTAGAGATTACCTTTTATTCATTTATTTGCACACACTATAACAAAAGGACAAAAAAAGGACAAAATTATTACCCAAAAAAGAAAGATTCAAATCACTAAAGCGCCCAAAGATAAGCAAATAACCATAAATAAACTGTATATTTAATCAAAGAATCCACTTCATTGTTTGACTTTTCTCTCAGTCTGGCATCAGTTTCTGCCTTTCTTCATCCCGATTAGGTGACACTTTGAAATTGTTATGACCCAGGCTGTGACTGTGGCAGTGAGCCAGACACCTCATACAGTGACATTATTTATACAAGGCGGGCTGCACATAGCTAAATTTAGTGTTGATGAAAATCAGGAGCAGCACAGTGAGAAGGTTGAATAGTGACAAACATCACCAAATAAAACAAAAATAATGATTATAAATGAATTGTAATGATTTCAGCTGTCATCACCAACTGCGCCTTATCTCTAAGGCTAGGCATTATGTTCCGCATGAGGACCTGGAGAAGCTTATTCACGCTTTTGTGACCTCCAGGTTGGATTATTGTAA